AGCTGAAATTGTGGGGAAAAAGATACAAGCTCTTATCATGTGAGTGGCTGATCTGCAACAAAATATGAATGCACAGACTCATCAGGTGTCTACTGTTAAAATGAGGGCATTGATTGGGAAAGAATGGGACCCTGCAACTTGGAATCAGGATGTGTGGGAGGACCCTGATGAAGCTGGGGACATTGAGTTTGAACATTTTCTGCCAGAAGGAACTGCTTCCCCATCCCCAATAGTGGTGACATCCCCTCCCTGACCCATGCTGCAATCAGCCTTTCCACATTTGTCTGAGGAAATAAACCCTGTACTGCCTGAGGTAACAGTGATGGCCTCTCCTGAGGCACTTGCCAGGCAAAATAATGTTGATTCTTCTCAGAAGTCACCCCCGATGCCCCTGTTTGCTTCTAGACCTATAACTAGACTAAAGTCCCAGTGGGTCCCTGGAGATGAGGTTGAGAGCGTGACCCATGAGGAGGGGCACTACATTCAAAAAGAACTGCTTGACTTTTCTAATTTTTATAAACAACAGTCTGGAGAACCAGTGTGGGAATGGATAAAAGGATATGGGATAATGGTGGAAGAAACATAGTGGGCCCAAATCAAGAAATTTAGCTTGATCCAACTCTAAGGAGGAATTCTGCATTTAATGTTGCAGCTTGGGAGGTTAAAAAAAAGTTCTAATAGTTTATTTGGTTGATTAGCTGAAACATGGATTGAAAGATGGCCCATTGTGAGCCAGCTGGAAATGCCTGATCTCCTTTCAGTTAATGTAGAGGAAGGGATCAAAAGGCTTAGGGATATTGGGATGATAGAGTGGATTAGTCACTTTAGACCTCCTCATTCCAGCTGGGAGAATCTAGAAGATATAGCCTTGACCAATGTCTTGGAAAATAGATTTGTGAGGACAGAACCTGTATCTTTGAAGAGCCCTGTAATTGCTCTTCTCTGTATGTCAGATGAAATGGTGGGAACCACAGTCTCTCAACTACAAAATGTAAATACAATGGGAATAATTGAGTCCCAAGGTGGCAGGGGCCAAGTGGCAGCACTAAACCGTCAAAAGCAAGGTGGGCATAGTTACAATAATGAAAAGCAGAGGCAAAGCAACAATCAGAATAGTCTGACCCATGTAGAGCTCTGGCATCAGCTAATTAACCACAGTGTTCCTAAGAAGTGAAATTGATAGGAAGCCTACTGCATTGCTACTTAAATTATACAAACAGAAAACTTCTAGGTAGAGTGAACAAAAGACTAATTTGAATTATAAAAACAGAGAATCACAGCCCCTTAATCAATTTCCAGACTTGAGCCAGTTTACAGACCTAGAACCTCTTGAATGAAGGGGAGGCCAGGTCCCCTTGATAAAGGACACCACTACATACTGATAGTTTACGCAGTGAATCTTTCTCCCATTCTTCCCCAGTGAGATCTCTAGCCTTTTACCAGGATAAATGTGCACTGGGGAAAGGGAAATAATCAGACGTTTTGGGGACTACTGGACACTGGCTGTTTGCTAACCTTGATTCCAGGGGAGCCAAAATATCATTGTGGTTCTCCAGTGGAGTAAAAGCTTAAGGATGTCAAGTAATTAATGGAATTTCAGCTCAGGTCCAACTTACAGTGGGTCTAGTGGGTCCCTGGACTCATCCTGTGGTCATTTCCCCAGTGCCAGAATGTATAATTGGCATAGACATACTTAGCAGTGAGCAGAACCTCCACAATGACTCCCTGACTGGTAGGGTGAGGTCTACTATGGTGCAAAAGGCCAAATGGAAGCCTTTAGAGCTGCCTTGACCTAGAAAAATAGTAAAATCAAAAACAATAATGCATCCCTGGAAGGATGGCAGAGATTAGTGCCACCAAGCACTTGAAAGACTCAGGGGGGTTGTTTCCCACCACATCCCCATTCAACTCCCCCTATTCTCATGTGCAGAAGACAGATGGATCTTGGAGAAGGACAGTGGATTACCATAAGCTTAACCACGTGACGACTCCAGCTGCAGCTGCTGTAGCAAATGTGGTTTCATTGCTTGAGCAAATTAACACATCTCCTGGTACCTGGTATGTAGCCATTGACTTGGCAAATGCCTTTTTATTTATTCCTGTCCACAAGGTCCACCAAAAGCAATTTGCCTTCAGCTGCAAAGGCCAGCAATATACATTTACTCTCCTACTTCACAGGTATATCAACTCTCTAGCTTTGTGTCATAATTTAATTTGGAGAGCTCTTGATCACTTTTCACTTCTGTAAGACATCACACTGGTCCATTACATTGATGACATTATGCTGATTGGATCCAGTAAGCAAGAAGTAGCAAACACACTGGACTTATTGGTGAGACATTTGCATGCCCGAGGATGCAAAATAAATCCCCTAAAATGCAGAGACCCTCTTGCTCAGTAAAATTTCTAGGGGTCCAGTGGTGTGGGACTTGTTGAGATATTCTTTCTAAAGGAAAGGATAAGTTGCTGCATTTGGCCTCTCCTACAACCAAGAAAGAGGCACAACTCTTAGTGGGCCTATTTGGATTTTGGAGACAACACATTTCTCATTCTGGCGTGTTACTCTGGCCCATTTATCAAGTGACCTGAGAGGTAGCCAGTTTGAATGGTGGAGTCCAGAATAGGAGAAGGCTCTGCAACAGGTCCAGGCTGCTGTGCAAGCTTCTCTGCCACTTGGGCCATATGACTCAGCAGATCTAATGCTGCTTCTGGTGTCAGTGGCAAATATAGATGCTGTTTGGAGCCTTTGGCAGGCTGTCATAGGTGAATCACATCAGAGGCCTCTAGATCTGCCATTTTCTGAAGATAATTACTCTCCATTTGCGAGACAGCTCTTGACCTGTTACTGGATTTTGTGGAAACTGAATTTTGACTGTGGGTCATCAAGTAACCATGTGACCTGAACTGCCTATCATGGACTGCGTGCTTCCTGACCCGTCTAGCCATAAAGTGAGTCATGCACGCAACATTCTATAATCAAATGGAAGTGGTACATATGTGATGGGGCTGGAGCAGGTCCCAAAGGCACAAGTAACTTACCTGAAGAAGTGGCTCAAACACTCCACTCATGCCACCCTGCCTTCTCTCCCTCAGCCTGCACCAAAGGCCTCATGGGGAGTTCCCTATGATCAGCTGACAGAGGAAGAAAAGACTAGGGCTTGGTTCACAAATGGTTCTGCACAGTATGCAGGCACCACCCGAAAGTGGATGGATATGGTATAAGCCAATACATATAAATTATTCACTGAGCACTTATTGTGTAATAATTTGCCCTAGCTTCTGAAAATCCAAAACACAAAAACATTCTTTCCTATACTGAGCTTACATTTACTTATTGCCTAAGTAAATAATTTTAAAAGTAACGAGAATTCAGAATTTTTTCCTTGCTTCTGCCTGTGATTCTTAATTCTGTGATTTAATCTTAAAAATAAAAAATACTAAATCAGTGAAATCATATTTTTTGTTTACAAATTTTGACTTTCCATCGCACTCCAAATACAAGTTATTGCTGTTAAAGTGTCCCTATTTGCTGCAACTCTGCCTCCTCATACTTCCATGCCTCTACTTTTGCCACCTTTCTCCTCACTTACTCTGCTTTTGAGTTTCATGGATGGTCTTGTTGTTTAGTTTACCTTAAACACTCTTCAGCGAAATAGGTACATGGCTTGTTTCCTCCCTCCTGTTAAGTCTCTGTTTAAATACATCTTTATTGTTGAAATCTTTCATGACCACCCTGTACAAAATGTCAGCCTAACTTTCATTATTGTTATCCTGCTTAATTATCTTCAGAGCAGTGATTCCTAATGGATATAACATATAAACGATACTTTATCATCTATCTACACTCACGCTTATTACTAGGAGATAAGCTGCATGAGAGCAAAATACTTGTTTAGTTCATTGCCTCACCGACATTTGGAACAATGTCTGATACACAGAAGGCACTGGGCAGCAATTTATTAAATGAATAGATTCCCAATTTTAAAATGTGTATATGATTTTCTATTTTTGAAATGTTCAAAGTTATACAATCATAAGAACAATCTGGAAAATTATAAAACATTCAATTTCAATATTCTTTCAGCTTTTCTGCAATACTAAAAGATGGCACATAGTACAGATGAGCCTTTGTTTAGGAAGTACTTTTAGCATTTTTGGATACAAATATTAAGGGGAGAAATGAATGGTTCTGAAATACAAAGTGAGGAAAATAGACATATTGGGATTCAGGGGTAAGGACTGCCTGGAGAAATAGAAAAACATAGACAGGCAAGCACAGTCTTAGAGACAGTCCAGAACTAAGCAAAGTGCCTGGAGGATGAAGACTGCAAAGGCAGGAGGACAGCCAAAAAAAAAAAAAAAAGCCAAAAAAGAAAGTTGCCAAAGACATTTTACATTATATTTTTAATGGAAAACTTCTCCACTGGCTGTGAACGTCAATGAAATATTCAACAAAACAGTGACTATAAAAAAATTCAAGAAAAAGGGGTCTAATTCATATCTGGGTTTTAAAATATAGAAATAAGTTAGTGAATAGAGACATGAGTGAGACTGGGTGCTGAGGACTGATTGTGTCCTCACCAAATTTATATGTTGAGATCCTAACCCCCGATGTAATGGTGTGAGGAGGCAAGGCCTTGGGGAGGTGATTAGGTTGTGATGGTGGAGTGCTCATGAATGGGATTTCTGTCCTTTTTATAAAAAAGATCCAGGGAACTCTTTCTCTTTTTCTACCAAGTGAGGACACAAGCAAAAGATGGCTATCTATGAACCTGAAAGTCAGCCCCCACTAGACACCAAATCTTCCAGTACCTTGATTGATCTTGGACTTGCGAGAAAAAAATCATTATTATGTTACTCATTCTGTGCTATTTTCATTTATAGCAGCCTGAACTGACTAAGACACTGGGAATCATTGAAAGCAGAAACTTCAGAGAGGACACTGGATTTCAAAATATGGATCATTGTTATCAGTTATGATTTGATGAGAAAAGAAGAACTATGAGAAACAAAATGGATTTATTATAAAGTTTAAACCTTACATGATCTTGGGCAGTGTTTGAGCATCCTATGTAAGTCTTCTTCCCCTATGTCAGATGATGGTCCTGAAGCTAGAAAGGAAAAACAGAAATAAGTGAGAGAGAAGAAAGACAAGCTAGAATATTTGAGAATGAGCTGAAACCCATGAGGATAAACTGAAATTTGTCCATTACATAGAGCTATATTAGTTTCTCACTGTCTCTAGCCTACAGTTTTGTTTGTATGTGAGGCCTGCAATATAGCTGAGGTATTCCTCTACAGAGTTTCATGTAAGTGTGGCCTAGGATCCAAGGAAACTGAAGAAAGGGATCAGATGGAAGATGAAGGAGCTCTGGGTCTGGCTGCAGTCCCAAGGAGATCTGGCAGAATCTAAAGCTGGGGCGGGCTAGCTACTGCCTCTAGCCAATGAAGTGAGCCAGTAGGTCCACCATAAAATATGTGACTTGTAAGAACGTCTCACTCTAGTCTGATTTTCCAAGTATAAACCAGACTGCTGCTTAACTCCTTTCTTCCAAATCTTGTTATCATGTCTAATTGTGGAAATCCATAACTTAGAATCATGTAAGAAAGGGAATTGTGAAAATGTGGTTCAAAATGTGTGATTTTAACACAATATAAATGCAGTCTGTAACTGATATGTACTGCTGTGTGAAAAGCACACAGTAGCATAAACAAGAGTGTAAAATGACAACCTTCGTTTATGATTACCTTTTGAAGTTGTAGAGATTGGCCTTGGCTGGGTGGTTCTCGCTCTGGGTTTCTCATGTGGTTGAAGATAATGAGTGATGAGTCTGAAGTTATCTTAAGGATTTCTCTCACATGTCTGACAGATAATGATGTCAGTCACCTGGATCCCATCTGCTGCTTTGGGCTGAAACACAAATCTGTTGCCTGGATTTCATCACAGCATCATGGCTGGTTTCCAGGGCAAGCATCTGAAAGATAGCCAGACAGAAGCTGTATCACCTTTTATGACATAACATTTGAAATCATGCATTGTTACCTCTGACACATTAATAAATGTATTAGTCAGGGTTCAGTTGGAGAAACAGGACCAGTAAGAAATACATACATTGAAGGGAATTCACTTATTTTGGAGACTGGCGAGGCAAGTTTCACAAACATAAGGTACACCATCAGCAGCAAAAACTTAGAATTCTTGGATATGATTGAAGCTGCTGTCTATAGGCACAACTTTTTCAGAAACCCACCTTGCTCTGCTCCTAATCTGGAGATCATCAAATTCCACAGAATGGCTGCTGTATGAAAATGATAGTCACTACTTCAGTCACATTCACTTTGAAATCTTAACTTCATGCTGAGAGCCTTTAAACAGCTCATTGATAACATTGATATTACTACTTGAAACAAGTTAATGAGCCACTGGAGAATAAAAGGAAAAGTCAGGACTTGCAAATGAGTTTAGTCTGCCTATCCTACAGAAAAGAGCCTTGATATGGTAGCTCTAGGCTGCATCACAGTGATTTGGAAGGCTTAGAAATTGCCATGACTATTTGCAGATCAATAGATAAATAGCTTGATGAGAATCTTGTGACATTGATAGAATCAGATATATTACCCATGTGTTTTTGTTTTTGTTTGGTTTTGCCTAAACATCTTTCTGTCACACATGATTTTCCATTTTTGTGCTCTCAAAATAATAATTTAAAAATAATATTTATTATGAATGGAAAAATTAAACAGATTCAAAATATTTAAATTAAGCAAAAATGCTGACTTTATGTGAAATAAATTAAATAGAGTCACATTTACTATATTACTGATATCTTTAAACTTTCTTCTCTTGCTTATTTAACTTAAGCAAATAAGAAACGGATATATTTAAGCTCTCTTTCACTGCTGATCACCAGCTTTAGAGAGTCTATTCTCACAACTTTGGATCACAAATGGTGAGATCCATGACTATGTATGAAAACAAGCTGGGAGCAGTTTCAGCCTTCAGCATTCTGAGAATTTCTTCCAGAGAGTGCTTATCCTAGCAAAAGCAAGTGAAATATAGATCTAAATGCACAGTACCCTGTCATGTCCGTGACTTTACTGCTAAGACTTCAGAAAGAACATTTGTTTTCAAACTTTTTTATCTGGGACTTCATTACTCATGAAAAAATCTTTCCTTTGTTAAGGACAGGTCCACTGATTTAGGAAATTAAGCCTAGGAGGTTCCACTATACAGTGACAACATACGATGTTAAACCGGGTAGAATTCCACATTATAGTGTGAGTTTCAAGCCTCCATTAAATACTCAAGTGACCAGGAAATAAGAGGAAATAGTTTATGTAAGAATTCATTGTAACATGAATGAGTTATTTCTGCTTTTATTGAAAATCTACTTAAAAGGCAAGGAACATACGTAAACTACTAACAGATTTATCAAGGGAGTCTATCATTGGTACAGTCTATTTTAAGGAAATTCAAGTTCACAAGGCATGAAAGACAAGTCTCACTGTTTCTTGCTAGTCAGACCACTTGCTACTGTGAAAACATCATATTTTAAAAGTGACACATGTACATGTGAGTTGTTGGATGTTTTCTTGGAAGCATATGCTATGGAGAAAAAAAATCACGATTCTAGTGTGGTATAGTCCTTTAAAAATTCTTAGAGGACACATGACAACTTTTTCTTAAATATGTGAAGATTGTCACAGAAAAGGGAGAGAAGACACTATGAAAGTAAATCTGAAGCAGAAAAGTAAATATTGCAGCAAAGATAGTTTTGTTCAATATAAGGAATAGCATTTAGACCTGTCCAATCATGGCTATATTGCCATAGAGGTATTGAAGCTCGTTATTTTTCTTTCTACTTGCAGTTTTTATTAATAGGGACAAACATTCACCATTTGAGCAACTCTGCATACATTAGCCAGTAATTTTATAGTGCCGTTTGATTTCATAAGAAATGTATTCACAAAGGTTCTTTTAAAAATAAGCTGTTTGTCAGTCAAGGCACATCTGTAGTTATTTTCTCATGATTGGAAATATTAAAACTGAATACTAATTGCTAGTTAACTGATAGAGAGGCTTTTTGTACTTGATGGAATGTTGAGCTATATGTTCCTAGGAATTCTTTGGTAATGCTAGGATTGTTAATAGCTCAATAAAGACCGCGAAAGTAGAATTCAAAAAAGTTTGGCTTTACTGTTGCTTTTTCTCATTTGATCATGGACAATTACTTAGCTTCTCTGTTTCTCATGCTTAGAGAACTATTTTTCATGCTTAGAGAACTATTGTGCTACAAGTCAGCAAGATAAAATGGCATAATGGATGAAAGAGTTTATGATAGTCTAATATGCACAAAATATCATACTCTCTGCAGTTCTCTGATGTGGATTTCAGGTAGAATTTGAAGAATGACTAATATTTATGTATAAAGAGATTTCATTCTAAAAGGAGACTAAAGACAAAGGCAGATTACTTGGACTTGGAAATACTTTTTAAAACTTCCAATGAGCTATTCTGGCCAAATGGAAGGTAGGAGGAACCCACCCTATATGGCATAAGTCAGTAAACTAGAATCGGTGGGCCAACTTGAGCTTGTTTTGGTAAATACAAATTTATTGTATATCAGATCTGCTATTTCTTTACATGTTGTTTATAGCTGCTTTTCTGAGACAACTGGAGAGTTTAGTACTTATGATTCTCTGAAGACTGAGTGGCCAGCAACATTCTAAAATATTTGCTATCTACCCCTTTAAGAAAAGTTTGCTGACTCCTGCTTTAAGAAACCTTTGTGTGTCTTTAGAAATGAAAAAGAGAATACTTTGCCTGTGAGGAATTCCCAAAGGATTTTCTCTGCAGCAGTGATTCCTTCTTCTTTATTATTTTGGAGAGAATTCATATGATAGTTTTTAGAATATAAAAGACAATAATGGTTTAGTGGAAAAGCAGGCAGCTCCCAGTATTTCACAGCAGCTAAATTTCTGTCTCAGAAGCAAGAATAAGGTTGATTTACAATTTATTTTAATGACAGTAATCATGATACCTGCAGTATATGACATTTTGTGTAACTTCAAGTATTATTTCATCTTTAGTATTAAACAGTAAATCTTGATATTGCTTAGGATTAGGAGAAGAGTTAACTACATAAGTACTCATGCTATACCTGGTAGATAGAAGATATATTAGAAAGTCTTCATTCTTCTTCAGTACCTCATTTTTCCTCTGTTCATCTACTCTTTTATTTCTTCTTGGTCAAAAAGGCAATTCACTTCAAAAAGCTGTATTACTGAAAAATATGGTGGAACACATAAGTCTCATAAATTAGACAATTCAAAGATAAGGCTGTTTCCAGCTCACTACTAATTTTCCTTTGATTTGTGCTTTATTCCTTTTTACATAGCAGAAATCTGCATGCGTTTGCCATAAGCCAGGTTAACTTCACACCTGATGATTAGTTCCACGTGATTGGTTCAAAGTATTGCTATCCACAAAACATACCTGGTGTCAGGCCTTATCAGCCTGCAAACATAATGATTATTTACTATATCAATACAATTCTTAAATTGTTTTTTAAGACTTTTGCTATTTAGTGCTGAGATAAAAATTTTTGAACCAGTTGGGCCTTCATTGAAATTGCTTGAGAATCATGAGTAAATCTTTTTACAAAAATGTTGAGAGCAAGTAGAGGAAACATTGGCTTTATTTCTAGAGGTAAGAGTACAATACTATTTTTTTTTTCTCTCTAGTGCTTAGTTAAGAAACTTTAAGTCTTTGTGTGGTCCTTGGGTGGGACCTGGAATAAGCCAAACAGAAGCTTAATTCCTGCTTCTTTTTGACATGATTTTCTCAAGCTCTCAACTTCAGTTTTTATATCTGCAAAATTAGGCTAAAAATTTCTCTCAAATAGTTGCTATGTTTCAAGTTTAAGAAAACACATAGTAGGCATGCTCTCATATACACAAGCATTTTCTACACTGCATCAATGTTATAGACCCTATTTCTTACTGTTTTTTCTTTTTTGTTTTGAGATGGAGTCTTGGTCTGTCGCCAGGCTAGAGTGCAGTGGAGCCATCTCGTCTCACTGCAACCTCTGCCCCCCGGGTTCAAGTGATTCTCCTGCCTCAGCCTCCCAAGTAGCTGGGACTACAGGCACACACCATCAGGCCCAGCTAATTTTTGTGTTTTTGGTAGAGACAGGGTTTTACCATCTTGGCCAGGATGGTTTTGATCTCTTGACCTCGTGATCTGCCCACTTCAGTCTCCCAATGTGCTAGGATTACAGGCGTGAGCCACCACGCCCGGCCCTTCTTACTGTTTAACAATATTAGATTAACATCCATATATTTACTAAAAATAAATTTTAATTGAATGGAATAAAGTTATTAGGCAAATTATTTACCATGACCAAATTTGTCCATAATTACAGTTTACTCATTTTGAAACTTATCCAAATATCATTCTTTTAGGATATATAACATAAATTAGTAGATATCATTGATATTTCTTTCTCTGATAATGTCTACTGCTGTAGACAAAAGACTTCATTAAATATTGTCAAAACCCTGCTATTTACACATAGTACTTAACACTTTTGAATCCTGGGAACATGGTACTGATTATCATCTTGCTTAGTGTCACATCTATTAGAATTTTTATGGGAGTGATGACAATTTCCACTCCCTAGAAAGTGGATATGAATGATGATTAAACAGCTGCTTTGATCCTAGATTGTTATCACACAGGTTGAAACAACATGACGGATTGTATAGAGAAGGCAACAGCTTGTTAGGGAGAAAATTTCGTAATAGTGGCATCCTACCTGTATATCTAAATCAATTCTAAAGATAAAAATATCAAATCAATGTTAATCAAATGGAATGCAGAATGTGAGCTGACCCTGAGTATAAAGGGCAGGAAATGTTACTCAAAACATGTGACCAGCTAGCTATTATATCTTTTTACTTTCCATTAAAAATATATGAAAATAAAATAACTATAAATTATACATACACAATGTTCTTCCCTAATGACGTAGTTGCTGTCTGTTTTTCGGGAGAAAGATTCTTCTCCAGAAGCTGTACCATTGATATACATTGTACAGTTAGGAAAAGCATTTCAAAGAACTAAAGAAGGAGTAAACTTCCAATAAGTTCCTTTCCAAGATATTTCAGGGATGCTAACAGTGAAACCTACTGAGGACCTGTGGTTCTTCCTTCTGGGATTTTTTTTTTTTTTTGGAGGTTGCTGGGTTTCTTTTAAATGCTCTGAAACAAAAGGGAAGAATGTGTGATTAGCAAGAATGGCTCTGAGCCAGATCACAATCTGGTCCTCTGTGTGTGTGTGTGTGTGTGTGTGTCTAGAGACAGAGACATGATCTTGCTGTTGTTGCCCAGGCTAGTCTCAAAATCCTGGCTTCAAGCAGTCCACTCACCTCGGCCTCCCAAATTGCTGGAATTATAGGTGTGGGCCACCATACTGAGCCCCTAATATGGACTTTAGCCAACTGACTGATCAGTTACTTGGAAGAGATCTCCTAGTGCTTTTGAAGTTGACAGAAACAACTCAATGTAAGAAGAAATTTAAAGGAAAATGCCATGCTTGGTTATTTCTGAAAATCCATACACTTTAGAGTTTTGCTATAAGTAAGGTAGTAGAAATCACACTATAAAAGTGTTAAGTTTAAGAGTTGATATGTTCTATGTCAAAAACTGTTTTCTATCCTATCCTCCAAAACTGTATCATGTAGACATAAATGAGAGAATTTAGTTTAGTAGATGTTCATCACTATTGTAAGTGACCCCGATTTACAGAATTTATCATCTGTTTTCTGATGTCGCATCAACCAGTCTAATATAATTAGACACATGACGTAAATGTATTTTGTAGGTTTAAAATATGCTATCTGCTTGATAGTTATACATATCACAACCATATATATATATATATAATATATCATATATATTGGAGACAGAGTCTTACTTTGTTGCCTAGGCTGGAGTGCAGTGGTGCAATCTCTGCTCACTGCAACCTCCACCTCCTGGGTTCAAGCAATTCTCGTGCCTCAGCCTCCCAAATAGCTGGGATTACAGGCACGCGCCTAATTTTTGAATTTTTAGTAGAGACAGGATTTCACCATGTCAACCAGGCTGGTCTAGAAACCCTGATCTCAAGCAATCCACCTGCCTTGGTCTCCCAAAGTGCTGGGATTACAGGCATGAGCCACCACATCAGCATAAATAAATATTATCACAAGAAATTAAATCCAAGTAAACTCTCTTTAATTGGCAAAAGTTAAAAAAAAACACTTCAAAATATGTGGTCTGAAGAAAAGTGTTTAAACTGTATAGTACATTGACATTATAGTAACATTAAAAATATTATTTTATCAATTAAACAGTCACCCAGCACTTTGGGATGCCTAGATGGGTGGATCACTTGAGGCCAAAAGTTCAAGATCAGCCTGGCCAACATGGTGAAACCCGTTCTCTACTGAAAATACAAAAACTAACCAGGTGTCGTGGCCTGTGCCTGTAGTTCCAGCTACTCAGGCGCCTGAGGCATAAGAATCACTTGAACCCGGGCGGTGGAAATTGCAGTGAGCAGAGATGGCACTACTGCACTCCAGGTTGGGGTAGGCGATGTTTCTATTTTAATCACAGTTGGAAAAAGTTGCCACATTACAAGATATTTGTATCTCTGTGAATTAATTCACAGAACACATTTAGATTAAAAAACAAAACAAAATAGTAAATATTATAGCTTTTATTACAACTATGGCCAAAAAGTAAGCCATATAAAGGGAGCCTGTTTCACTGCAACAAGAGAAGAATAGAATAACTTTTGCTGTACACTCTTGGATATTCTAAGGAGCAAGATTCTAATCACATATTGGCAACTATTGCAATTGTAGGTATTCGTGGATTAATCAATGTAAAGTAGGTATATTTTGTTTGGGTCTTTATATATTTTTCTACATTCTCCCCCATTTGTACAGTGCTTCTTTACCTTCAGTAAAGAATCACCTACCATTCTGGCAGAGGTGGGTGGAAAGTTTCTTAGCTGGGCCTTAAATTCCTGCCTGTGGGAATCTCAGACTAAAACTATATATTCCTTGATATCGTGAATATAACAAAGATGTTATTTTTGCATATTAAGGTATTTTAAATACAGTACTTTGCTGGATGGTCTCATTTCTTCTATGCGTATTTGTTTAAATGATGTAGATTCAATAGGATTTACTCAATAAATACTGAAGTATTATAAATACTTAGTGTTCCATTTTTTGAATCTGTTGATTCAATCATCATACTCCATTTGTTTGTCTGTTGTAATTTCACGTTAAAAAAAGGCTACTTGATTCTCAGTAGCTGAATTTTCAGTGCATGTGAGTGTTTATAGTATTTACCTATGCCATTGTGAATGCTTTCTTTGTTGTTGTGAAGTGGAATCAAAATATTGCTTTGTATAGAATTTTTTATCATTAATTTAAAAATAAAGGCACTTTCAGTAGTTGAAGATTTTCATAAGAAGATGATTATATATTATTTGTAAATTTTGGGAAAGTAGTAATCATTTTATTAAGAAAATTATAGCCATACTGAAACAATGGTTGAATATCTTATCAAGTGCTCTAGCTGGTTCCGGTTGCAACTGAATCATACAATGTGCTATTTGTCTTTTCTTTATGTTGAAGTCCTTCCACACTTGCTTTTCACTTCTCTCCATTAAGATATATTTATATTAATGTTCTTAAAATGAGACCTGAATAAATAGCAGTTAAATCTAATGTTTGGTGCTTAAATGTGTGATAGATGACCAAATATATAAAAACTAGTCTTATAAGTTTTAAAATAATTTATCATATTAGCATAAAGGAGTATTAGAGAATCCCATACCCATAAAGGAGTTTGCAGTGAGATGCTAAATATGACTGAGAATGGAAGTAAATTAGAGAAAGATGAATTCCATGTAACCTTTGGGAACCAGTAATCTGCTTTGAAGCAATCGCCTGCATAAAGGTGACATCAAGGCAGGAATAAAGTGACCCTGTATAAAATATCAGAACAGTTTAATGGAATATTTTGTGACTTTCAAAGGTTATAAATCTAAACACTGAACCAAATAAACCTGACGTCTCTTGAAATCAAGTGCCATTATGATTATGGTAGTCTACCACTCAGATATGTAATTATGTCAAATTATAGTGTTATATCTTCATAATAGACATTTCCAGGGCTTACACACACTCCACACATGAAAAGAATGATGTATATATTCTGAAACATCAAATAATAGATCAATGACTTTTCTTTGGTTTTGTTACACATTATAATTCTATATTTGTCTTTAAAGTATCTGCTTTTGTTATTAAGGTTATTTTAACTATTCTTTGAATGAGTTTATATAAGTGGGATGTAAATATCTGTAAAATTAAAAGTGTAAATAATTGGCTAATTCCAACCCTCTTCCCTCCAGCAACTCTTTACCAAAACATAAAAATAAAAACAAACAAACAAACAAAAACCCACCACCAACAAAAAATAACCCAGCAGTTTTGCAAGCCTTTTCATGGAAAGGGGATTTGAAAAGAATAGCAATGGGGGTGCCAATGCATTGGGAGATGTACTCATGAAACAGATCACCTTTCTTCCTTTCTGGGATGTTCAGGGTTCTGGGCACATAGGTGTTTTATTGAAGATAGCTGGGCCCCAGGTTCTCCCACGGTACTGCTATTGCCTTAAAACAATACAATATCCTTATTATCCATATTGTCCCTGATACTTCCATGACTAATGCCAACAGAAGGGGCATGGAGAAGAAAAGTTCTTTGCAGGTAATCTTGTTCCAATATATATCGGCCTTTAGTTTCTATGTATATCGATTTCCCACAGAATAATACTTCAGATATATCTCTACTTCTCTTTAAAAAATAATAAATTACTAGATTGCGGAGTTTGGGAAAGGGAGTTAGGACTCCAAAGCTCAGCTCCTTTCTACTCATCTTCAAGTTTTATACTTCCCTGACACATCCTGTTTTAAGCCTATTAGTTTTTAAAGACTCCAGTCTGGTGGTGGTAGCCTGTGGATTTCCAGGACTTCTTGTGAGTTGTAGAAGTGCACATTGTGATTTGTAGCAAATACCACAAAGCTCACCACCACCAAAATTATTTTCTAATATTTCCCAGAAACTTTTCAGTTAGGACACAGACTGTGGCTAATTCTGTCCAATGTCTTTTAAGGTGAAATAAATAGCATAAAGGACTTCCAAGAAGAATAAAGATAAGCTCTTGCGTGATGATCCTGTCTCTCTTTTGCTGACCCAAACTAGCAGCTGTTCCAGGTGTTACAGCTACAAGATGGTGGAACTTTAAGCCTAAAAACGCCTGGTTCCAGAATCACCACCCCCACCCCGGACCCCAAACCACGTGTGCCCATGTGGTTGTTTTATAACTCAGCCAGGATCAGCTCTCTGAGTGTATGACTTGTAAAGGTGCACAGGGGGCTGGAATTAGAAGCTCTCAGTGTTTGATTTAATGTTCTGTTGTTGCCATCTTAAAATTCTTAATATTTTTGAACAAGGAAGCTCATATTTTCAAAAACTATATAGCCAGTAATGACCCCAGCAAAATCTAGAAAAACAAGTTGTAACTAGGAGAGAATTTTTATGGCTGACAATAAAATTCACTAAATGAAAGAAGAAACAAGTTTATTTAAGAGGATTATTTAGTTCCTAGAATTATATGCTAAATTTTTGGAAACAATACAAATAGGAAAGCTATGCAATCACACCATAGAAATATTTTATTGAAAGCCTGAAGCAGCAGCAGCTTTCTGCCCCCCAAACACACAGAATGCCAGGGACTGGATAACAGAAACCCTTATATGGCTACTATTAAAAACAAACAAACAAACAAACAAACAAACAAACAAACACCTCCAAAAAATGAAATAGAAAAATCTTTTCTGACTTTGCTTGCTAGAGAAGCCTCATAACCTCTTCCAGAAAATTTTTAGTTTAAACTTTCAAGTCTTACATGGGAGCCTGCATTGTAGAACTTTGTCACTTTTGAAAACTTAGCTTCAAAAGTGTAAGAAATGAGATTTTCCCTTGCCATTCCCTAAAGAAAATATATTGATTGAACCAATCTATAATATTTACCAGAGACAGTATTGATATTTTTTAATTTTGATTTTTTTATATATATTATTTCTTTATTTTTGAGATGGAATTTTTCTCTGTTGCCCAGGCTGGAGTGCAGTGGCACGATCTCAGCTTGCTGCAACCTCTGCCGCCCAGGTTCAAGCAAT